GGAGCTGGGTAAGACTTTGGGGATCATCATCTTCTGACCCTACTTTTGTGCTCTGAGTACTCCGATCTCTTTTGAAGGTAAAGAAAACAAAGGTCCATAGGAGGCAGCTGTCCTACCCTCCATGGCTGCTTTTGAGCAGCAAATTGGAATTTGAAGCCAGATGCTAAGAAATCCATTACAGGTTCTGTCTTGTGACTAGTTCAAGTTGTTCACAATGGTTTTCCTTCTTTTCCAGGCAGTGCTGAGCCCTCTCATAGCCATTGCCCTGAAAATATCCCAGATTCACGAGAGAACTGGCCGCAGAGGACCCACCGTCATCACCTGAGTGCAGGAGAGATCGCTCACCCGGGCCAAGGAGAGCACTCAGCCGGAGCTGCTTCACGATGCTTTCTTGCTACCTGTTTGTGCCTCTTATGACTTTGGGAAGAAAAAAAAAATGAAAAAAAAAAAACACAAAAAAACCCCAAAAGATATTTTGCTGTTGCGGGGGTGGGTAAGGGGTGGGTGGGAAAAGAAAACCGATTCATTTCATTTTGGTTTTGTGCAGTTCCTCCAAATGCATCAGGGTCTTTAGTTGTCATTTTCATTATCATTTGGTATCTATATCTTATCACACAAAGGGGCCTTCCCTTTTTAGAAAAAAAAAAATAAGTGGACAAGGAACCCATTAATCCCAATCCCTGACTTCTCTGGTGCCATATGAGTAAAGGTCATAAAATCACAAAAGAGAGAGCAGTGCCAGAATTAAGCCAACCCTAAGCCATTGGGAGCCCTGAGCAGGTGGAAGACCTCCCCAGCCTGAAGGAGGGGTCATCCTAGGTTAGGTCTACGATGAGACAAGGTGTCAGAACTCCTAGTAACCCACCTCATGACTGCCAACTACCTGATGGCATATGCTCCCCACACCTTGTACACCTTCTTTCACACCTTCTAGAGCTTCCTACAAATCACAGTGGAACACTTCCAACAAAACATATCAAAGGGTGTTCCTCGTTCTGTACATAATGTTATTTTAGCTATCGAGCTGGCTGCATTCCTTCAAATGCAGTCGTTTGCTGTGCAGGTGGCAAGGAGTTTCTTGACAAGACTGTGCAAATGAATGCTTTAAATCCAGTGGGCCCATTGTCAATGACAGCACAGAGGTTAATACATGAGTTTACATAAATTCCTCCCAAGGAGACAAAAATACCACCACACCTTGTGCATGCTGTCTCTGACTTTCCCAATAAGGGCCTATTTTAATGTACTTGTTGAAACCCAGTTTTTATCTTCCTTGTAATGGCTATTAAGAAAGAGAGAATGAAATGCTGTAAGATTAGGAAATGAGATGGATTCTGGAAGAAAATGCTGCTGGTGGGAGAATATGGCCCGATGAGATAAGGAGAGGGTAGGGACTCCTTTGGGGAAGCAAAGGGTCACATCTGGCTTACTTTGTCCAGGGAAAGAATATTGCAGGTCTAGCAGCCTCCTCTGCACTCAGGACACTTGGGCCTGGACCTGTTTGCGTATATCTGCTTCCTTGGGAACGGCACGCTCACTGATCCTGATGGTGTCACTTGCCGGGGTGACCTAGTGCACTTTGACTGTTAAGCAATGTGTTATTGCTGTAGTCAAGGTTAGTGCGAGCAAGGAAACATTCCCAGCAAGGCATTTGTTTCCATTTCCTATCTAGGCTTTTGACAAAAACTTGCTAGGACATTTAGTAGCCAATAAAAAGAAAGAAAGAAAGAAAGAAATCCTTATTTTAACCTTATACAAGGGTTATGGGTTTCAGCTCATTTGTTTCACCATTGAGAAACTCCAGGAGTAGTCACCTATGCTGATAAATCTGTCTTTCAGAATATTTACAAGCATTCTTTTTTGATTATTATGACCTAGGGAATTTATTAAATAAATAGAACAAAAAATCCGAATTGCTCAAAATTGCCTCTGGGAGTCAGCAAAACCGAAGATGGCCTCTAGTCTTTCATTGTAACAGCCTTCATTTCACAATACTAGGAAAGTGGTTTTGAGCTGAGATATTAAAGAAGTAGTTATAAAGTACACCACCAAGAGAATAAAATTTGCCTTTTAGCTTGTGTTCTCATTATGTCTTCAGTTCCCTGATAATCATTGATTCATTCATTCATTGTGGTTGTGATGTGTTGGTCAGGAAAATCAGGTGCATTCTTAAGTGTATGAATTCTGGGTGAGAAAATATTTAGATGAACTTTTGACCATCTCTAACTTTTTAGTTTAAATGTAGTCTCCACTTAAATATTCTATACATTTATTTCAACATAGAGCTGTGTATCTCAAATATATGTTCACCCAACAGTTCATTCACTCATTCACTCATTCATTCAGCAAGCATTGGTTGAGCAACTACTTCAAGCAGACTCCTGTGTAAGGTGCAGTAGGGAGATGCATAAGACACTATTCCTGCCCGTATAACATTTGTAAATTGTGAAGAGGCGATGACAATCACAGATAATCAGGTAGACATGAATGTTTACAATAGAGACATATGAAGTGTTCCATGGGAATCCACAAATGATAAGACATGAGGAATGAGCGTTTTCCTGCAGAAGAGGGCTTCATGGGATTTGTAGCTATATTATTTCACTAGGATGAATGGAGCAAAGGGAAAGACTAGAATTGGGAATTAGGATTCATCAACAGAAGACTTTTGAGTCTGGTGGGAGGTTGGTTTGGTAGAGTGAGTTGAGGTAGACATATGGATGTAAAGCAATGTGTTATTGCTGTAGTGGAGAAAGCAGTTGGGCTCAGCCATGGAAAGAAGCAGCTGCATAACCACATATTTTTACGGATTTTTTTCTTAGCTACAATGCCAAAGGGAAGGTCCTTCAGTGGTTCTAGGATACAGCTTCTTTCTAGAACCTGCTCAAGTTCACATTGCCAAGTTTTTATTTCTGCCTTACATAAAATTCAAGCTTCTGTTGCCTTATTCTCAGGAGAGGTGGAATGTAGGAAATCAGTCTTTCCCACATAATGTTATTTGTGTTCTTAAAGATGGAGCTCCAACCATCAGTCTTTACAAGTAAATGACTTGAGAGGTCCAAGAATTTTTGTGGAAATCACAAGAATCAAATATAGAAGAGACTATGGATGAAGTATGGTGGCAGTCAGGGCCACACTGGTGATCTTATACCACAGAGTGTTCACTCTCTATAACATGTGCCTCCAGAAAAATGACAAGCCCTAATATACATAATGTAGTGGTTTTCAAACAGGGCAGTACAGTACAGTACCACCACCCACTCAGGAGCTTCTTGGAAATGCATATGCCAGGGGACCACAGATGTTAATTCAGTGAGGGAACCATAGATGTTAAATACGCTGCTGCATGTCAGCCAGTTTCCCAGAACAAAAGGTGTTTTGCCTTACCTAGGATTCTTGAGTTTATTAGCTATCATTTAAAAAAAATGTGTAGTCTTTAATTCAAGTGAAATCATTTGTCAGACCTTATTGATCCAAGGTGCAAGATACTTATGGAACAAATAGTGTTGCATGATTCTATATGTTATAGGCTGATGGGCTTGGACATGCCATAAATGCTTTCTTCACAGGAAGCCTCGGATTGGTGCACAATCTCAGGGTGGCATCTTGGGCTGAGAGTTGGCTGCCCTAAGCCATGACAAGGATAATGGCATTGTGACTTTTGACTGGTCACTCTTGGGTCAACTGAAGGCATGAGATTTGCTTTGGCAGCCAAATCCATTAATTATGGCAAGTGTGTGGAATTTGGAAAGCACTTGCGGGAATGGGTAATGACATAGCATATAACTCAGTCCCATTGCTGGATCATGTCCTGGGTTCTCTCAAAACAGGAGGAGGCTGAAATCCCAGACATGTGCCTTGAGATTTCTATTCCTGAGCGTAGAGGGTCTGAGAAACTGTGTGCCTTTGGAAATGTTGTAATGTAACTGCTGGTAAATCAGTGTTTGGACCTTCAACAGTAACTAAGAGCAAGAGATTACCCAAGGCAGCAGAGCTTAGCAGAATGCCTGTTCCGCTCCAACCAGCTGGAGTAGAAATATTTCATAGAGTTGACAACTCAGTGGTATGTGAGTCAACCTAGGTTGTCATGGAACTTGATAGAATACATGAAATATAAATCCATGTCTTTATCATCTCTTCATGTTTTTTAGCACCTAGCATGTTTCCTGCATGCTGGAGCAGGAGCAATGCTTCATCAAAGGCAATATATTTAAGTAGAATCTTGAAGGTGGATAGTGTCTTAGTAGAAGCCCTCATGAGTTTTTTGCATGGAGAGTTGAACCCAGAACATCCCAGCTATGCAAAAGATACAGCATAGTTTATAACTGATCTTATCATCCTCATCTTCCAGATAGTAGTGGGACTTATTTAAACTTGTTTCTCAAAGAAACATTATGAGATTATAATGCTGGAGGGTCATCAACTCTGAACACTTTCCTTTCCCATTACCTGGAGAGCCTACCATTTACATTTGAGAGGAAAAAAAGAGCAAGGATCTCTGTAGGGAGATTTCCTCTTTTCATTTTCTCACAGTCTAAATGCCCTCCATGGAATTATGATTCCCAATCCATCATCAGGCATTGTATCCAAAATTTGGGAAGGAAGGTTAAATACAATATCTATTTCCCTTTGGTAAATTCTCTAGGGAATGACCAAAGTATTATTATCCACCACAATAGGACACTTTCATCTGATTTATTCAGTGAATTTTAATAATTAGACCTCTCAAATGTAGGATTTGCTTTAGGTAATATCCATGTTCTTAGCACTCAAGTCATTGTGCATATTTTTAGATGTCATTAAATACTTAGTAATATTTTTTTTTTAAAAAAGAAGCACCCTGATTATTTTCTGAATCAATAGTTGATGTTCAATTGTGTTTAGATTTTCAGAGAGATGAACTCATCTTGATACTGTGTTAGTTTCATGAAGAATGACACTTTGACTTATGTTCCTCTACTGAATTTTTTCTGATACAAAAAAAATGCCAAAAGAGAAAGTGTGAGTACAAAATTTATTGCCATAAAGAGATTAAAACAATTTCTTTTGTAAACTAAAGCTAACGTATGTTCCACCTGATTCTCTCAGTTGGAAAAAAATCCTCTATTACACATGCATACTCTGGGTTAAATCCCAGTAATATTCCTATTTAGGTCAGTAAATATGCTCAGACTCTCAGAGAATGTTTCTTAGTAGGATGGAAAGAGATGACGAGAAAGAAAGAAACTGCATTGCTAATAAATGATCACCTACCTATTGGACAACCATGAATGAACCTCATGTCTAGTTATGTCGTCACGGTCGAGGGTTCAAATTACAGATTTCCAACTGTATGCCTCATGGATGAGGGTTTCCTTCTCTGTAGTTTCCTGTGTGTTTGTCATGATATACTTTCCCTGTGCACTCAGTAATGATGGGGAAGAGGAGGCCATAATGGCCATCCCATCTTGCTGACCTTCTTCTTTGAAAGATCTACACCCTTCTTTCCAACTATCCAAAGACTCTCCTGTGCCAATCACCATGGCTGTCACCCATTAGGATGAGTCCTTCATCATTACAATAATGACCAGATGAAGGAAAACCAGACTCAGATAAGGCCCTTTCTGGCAGAAAACAAGGTAGGTTTATTCACACTGTAATTGAGAAGTCCATTGACCCTAAAGCCACCTTTGAGACCTCTCCAAGGGCTGGAAGATACTGCAGCAAACCCCCAGAGTTCCACTTACTGTTGGGGCCCACATTCTGAACAGGGAGAGAAATTCAAACTGTTCTCTGGAAGGAAAGAAGGAAGACACAGCTACCTCAGCACAAAAGTCTAAAGAGAGTAGGTCCTCCCACACCTTTCCACAGATTCTCCTTCACCCTCCCTCCTGAAAAGCACTGTATATTACTGGGCAACTTTCTTAACTTCTCAAAGCCTCAGTTTTATGCATCTGTAAAATAGGAATAATCATAGCACCAATCTCTTAAGGATGGAATGGGGGCTGCGTAACATGCAGGAGTTCATAGCAGAGCCTGCCATATAAAAAGCAGGCCAGAACTGTCAGATGTTAATCCCAGCACAAAAGCCTCACTCAGTAGAGGAAATTGAGGCCAGAGAGATGAATATCCTCATCCAAGTTCAAAAGCATCAGGCTGTATCTCTTTCCAGCATTCTACCACCTGACTTGTCCTATTGTCTTAAAAATACAATAAAACATAATGAAACTGAGGAGGAACCATTGGGTTTTAAAATAAGTGTCCCGAGCCTAGAAGTCAAGACCTCTGTCTTTAGACACAAAAGAAATTTCTGGTAATCTTGGCGTGTCAGTATAGGCACTCATCTTTCAAATTCTGAACATATACACCCGGGGATTCCTTGAATTACGTATCAATATTTTTTAAACTTCACAAGATTTACATCAAATCGTAATTAATACCATTTATGGCTGGTACAAATTCTCCCACCCCACCCCCAGTTCTGTGCTTTATGAATTAAGTATTTTGTCTGTTCAATTTGAGTCTATAAGAAATCTTATTTATCTGCTTGTATGAAAAATTCCTCTAAAAATAACTCATTTAACATTTTGTGTTTGAGCCTTTTTGAAAATGAACATCATGGTTGCTTTCCTTTTACATCGGGAATAAAATACACATACTTAAAATAAAATAATGCAAAATATGAATGGCGAATTCCAAGGGCATATCTCTCATAGCGTAAATTATTGTGCCACTCTGGTGGTCCATGGGCATAATTATGAAGCCCGATAACAAGATGCTGAGCCAAAAATTAAATGACAATGATATTTCCTTCCCAGCACACATCCCTCTCTGATTCTTAGGTTGATGGCTGCCCCAGCAAGCCGCATGTATTCTTCACTGTTTGGTGCTGAAGTTGAGAGGGGAGTCCCACAAGAGCACAACTGTCCTGGTACCACCTTTACTTGCCTGGCCCCAAGGCTCTGAAGATTTGTGGGGAGTGAGAATTCTCTGAAATGTCCACTTGGTGCTAGCCACACCCTGCCAGGGGCCCCATGTTGCCCTTGCCTGGCTGTGTACGTGGCACAGTGCACTCTTGGGCAGCGTCCCTGTTGCAGCCTTTCCTCCCACTGACCCAGGCTGCCTTGCTCCTTAGCAACTCATTCCCACGAGTATGTGTCCTGCCTTCAGTGCTTGGCTTGGCCTCTCAGCATCCTCTGATGTTGCTGCAGACACCAGGTCTGCTACAGATGCTTGGTAAGATGGTGGGGCCTCTGGGTGGGCACCATTTTCACCCTGGAGTTCAAAGCCCGTCTCTGTGTATAGAGGTGGAGGAATGTCCAAGGCCTCTGGGTCTGCAGGACAGGTGTGTTTCTCAGCATCAAGGCTCTCTTCATAAGCTGGAGGGTAGAAGTCTGGCCTGCAGGACAAAATGCCACAAACCTTGTAATGCATGCATCATTTAAGACTTTATGCCTGTCTCAGCTCACATAGTGTGAAGCTAAACTGCTAAGAAACATTGATTTTTGAAACAGATGTACTTTCTCTCGCATCACCAGTTTTATAAAAAAAAAATGTGCCGCCCTTCCAGAAGAACCCCTTTATCAGCCATCAAATACATCCTTCTAGTCACTTTTTTCCAGCCTGTGATTCCAGGCTATGAGTTCTCTCTTGCTCACTCATGGAATCAGGGCCATTCTTTAGGAGATCCTTATCAGTGGTAGGGGACATTGGGACATTGAGGATGGACTTCTCTCGGGGGCCAGCACTTCACTCATTCACATCCATGTCCCTATTCACACACATTATCTTCCACTCCACTCCACTTACTGTATCAGAGTTTCACGGTCAATAAAATAATGAATGAAAATCAATGTGCAGGTCCCTGAACTATATAAATGCCACCACTTTTTCCTGACACTCTTTCGAGTCTCACCTACTAGTTTCCAAGGAGCATACAAACTCACTCATTTCTCCAACCATGCCACATTTCAGCTGCAGCCCTTTCTATGTCAATAGGCCAAAGGCTAAAGGAACCATTCATGCCAGGGCTCATTGGTAATCTTGCCCAACCTTGCTAATTGCTAAATCCTTCTGGCTTCTCCAACATGAATGGGATTGGGGCTGAGGGTGAGGTGAGGAAGAGACATGGGTTGAGCTTGTTGGAGTTGTGTATTTATAGAGAGAGTCTGTCCAGTGTCAACAGGGAGTGTTTATGATGTGTAACCACAACAGAACTGGGACTGCCATTTGTGGCCACAACTCCATTCCAAAATGTTACCAGGCCCAAAGCCAAATAGCTGAAGGAGCTGTCTACTGTACAGCATAAATCTCAGCCTTCGCTTGGAATAGCCATGGCTGAGTCATGGGACTTACACGTAAGGGTGCTGAGGACAAAAAGGTGAACCGTCTCCTAGAGTGATTTGAGCAACTCCAGGATGACTGCCTCCAGCCCCAAATCCCATCTACCCCTCCCAATCCACCCTCCCTCTACTGCCACTCACATTCCCAGGATCCTGTACTCTGCCACTGGAGAAACGGCTTTGGTACCTCTACCTAGGTACCTATTTTGAGTGCAAAGCTTCTGAGAAATGTAACTTCCCAACTTGATTAGCTGTCCATTCTGAGTGAGCTGAGCATCTCAGAGTGCAGCAGGAAGAGACCATAAAGTAGGAAGTCATGATAGTTATGACTTACTTTCAAGTATTTCAGCACAGTGTGATCTTATGCACATCTTAGTAAATTTAAACTACATCCTAAAGGCACCCAGTCACTTCCGTAACGACTTACACTCTAGAGGAAGTCATCTAACATTTATCCAAAAACAAAAATCACCACCACTGTGGAAGCATCTTCTATAATCATTTCAATTATCTTAATTTTTAATCAAACCCAGAGACCTTGCTGGTTAGTCTGATAAGCATTAAAAATGGATTTTGCTTATTGTAATTAGTATCTCATTAATTCGTAGAAAAAAAATGTCACAAATGGATCGTCATGGGTAAGATTACTTGTATTTAAGGCACACAGAATCACTAAAACACTTTCATATTCCCCTCCCTTGCATGAAGAGGGTGAAAGAACTTATGGACACTTGCAGCCTGTGTCCTAAGAATGATACCTGAGATTTTATCCCAAAATAGTCCTGTATTTGCCCAAGAATTAGAAGGTAACTAATACTAAATGTTACTGGATCTTTTTTTCTCGTAGTAAAATCGTATAACATAAATGTACTCTTTTATCTGTATGGTTCAGTGGGATTAAGTACATTCACATTGTTGAGCGACCTTCACCAGAAATTTTCTGTCACCTCAAACTGAAACTCTGCTCTCATTAAACAATCATTCTTCATTTTCCACCAGCACTCTGGTGGGCCCTGATAACCAGTGTTCTGCTTTCTATTTCTATGCATTTGATTCCTCTAGGTACTTTATGTAAGTGGAATCACACGATGTCTATCCTTTATGACTGGACAATTTCACTTAGCATAGTGTTTTCAAGGCTCATTCTTGTTGCAGGTACCATGATTTGGATATTTTATTGTTGTTATTGTTGTTGTTGTTTTGTTTTTTAAGGCTGGGTAATATTCCATTGTGTTACATGCTGATTTTCATTTCTCCATACATTACTGATGGATGTTTGGTTTTCTTCTACCTTTTGGCTATCATGAATTATGCTGCTATGAACATTGATAGATACCCATGTGTTTGAGTCCCTGTTTTTAATTCTTTTGTGTATATATATCTGGAATAGAATCACTGGATTAAATAGCAATTCTATATACAATACTTCAAGAAACTTCCATACTGTTTTTTTTTTTTTAAATAGTGGCTACACAATTTATATTCCTACCGGCAATTCACAAGGATGCCAATGTCTTGCTACAGTTTTCCTTGCCTGTGAAGTGATAAGGTTAACTGAATGTTACTCCAGGACATTACCTTCTTGCCTTGAATGACTCTTCATGAGGTGACACCAGAATACATAAGCTGGGACTTCCCGAGTCACAGAGGTTACAGAATTGATTGCATGTCTGCATGCTCACTGGCTCTGTGGCTGAATTCAGTCTGGGACTTAACTTTCCTTATAACTTGGTAACCAGGTGATAGGGAAAAATTAATCATTGCCTCCCTTTAACTTGTGACAACCCTCATGATATAACAAAAGAGCTGAGTAGTTAAGCCTCTGAAGTATGCTTAGGCCTCTGAAGTATGCTCAGGTGGGTTTTCACCAGGTGATGGTAGGGGTAAGAAAATTCCTTTTACCTCATGGTTTTCCCCAGGATAACAGCATTCTTTCCAATGACTAACAGGAGTAAATTTCACAACAATAAAGCTTTGGTCCTGACACACAGTCCCATGGGACTTGTAAGTCGCCCCTGCTGTAGGATTTCAAGACATTCAGCTTTTCCACAACTCAGCCCTTCTTGCTCCCTCCAGGTCTCAGCACCTACCTGTCCACCGTGGCCAGAGGCAGGTCCTGGTGAGCAAGTTGTCGTCTGAGCACATGGCTGAACACCCCTTTGTTCCCACTTGCCTGGCGGTAGGTGCTCCAGAAAATTCCAACCAGGAGGATGACAAACCCCAGAGGCAGAAGTGAATATGCCATGATCAAGTTTCTTGGACATTGGAATATAGAGTCTGAGGAAATGAAGAAGGCCCCCAGGCAGATCATCAGGAAACCTGTCAGGAGGGCAAGAGTGCAGAGAATTAGGCCAGCTCTGTTCTGCATCCTTGCACCTCCGGAACCTGCAGCCTGACCCTGCCACTCCTCTGCTTCCAGGCTTCCTACAAGAGAATGTGCTCATTACCCAGCTCGCAGCTTTATGTGTTCTGGGACCAACTGGCCTTTGGACAACTAAACGAAGGAGCCACTGAGAAGCTATTCATTAACCACTGAGAATTACTGTAATATACCCAAAGGGTGGACCTAAAAATGCCACATTGTGTACCGAGGAATGGCTTCACGCAGCCTTTTGCTCTTTGTTGGTGGGTGGAACCCTCAAATGATCCAAGGTATTAAAGAGAGGTCCTTCATCTCTTCTTCTTTTTCTTTTGTAGTACTGGGGATTGAACCCAGAACCTCATGCACACTAAGCAAGTGCTCTACCACTGGGCTGCACTTTATTTTATTTTATTTTGAAACAGGGTCTCACAACAGTGCTGAAATTGACCTCCAACATGCAAACCTCTGGCTTCAGCCTCCTGAGTAGCTGGCATTACAGGCATGTGCCACCACACCTAGTCTTTGTCTTTTTGATGCCAAGGACATGGGTCGCTTAATCCTCACTGAATTAGTGGGTAATTCTTCAAGAAAAGCTAGAGAAATTAGCATCCGGACTTGATATTATCTCTGCAGTCCTAAAACAATTCTTTCTCCTTCCTTCCCCAAATGGTCTTCAGATGTCACATTTCTGATATGATCCCTGATGATCTTTGCCTCCTGGTATCCATATCCATGTACAAGTAATTCTCTCCCTTTGCATGTGGGCTGCTGACTTGATTCTCACCAAGAGAATATGGCAAAGATGATGGGTTATCACTTCCATGATTAGACTACAAAAGATGGTGACTTCCCTCTTGCTTACAGATTCTTTATATTGCTTTATTGGCTTGCACCCTTTGAAGAAGGAGGCTGCCATACTGGAGAGTCCTGTATAGCAAAGTACCAAGGGCAGCTTCTAACCAACAGCCAGTGAAGAGCAGACACCCTTAGTCCACCAGCTCAGGAGGAACTGCACCCTGTTAACAAGCATTCGAACTTGAAATCAGCTCCTCGCACAGTTGAGACTTGAGATGACTATAATCCCAAGCAACACTTCCATTGAGTGACCCTGAAGTAAACTCAAAGTCATGCTTAGATTCATGAGCCACAGAAACTGTGAGATAATAAATGTGTCTTATTTGAAGTTGCTAAGTTTTGTGGCAATTTGTGAGATAGCAATAGATGAATCAAACAATTCTGTTAGCCCTTGGAAATCAGAGGACATAATCAATGTTAAGTGTTTCCCATGGTACCTGGCACAGAGCAAGTGCCCTGTGAAAGTTAGTTATAATTGTCCTCACTGTTGTTATTCTCATCACTGCTGTAATTTCAAAAAGCTACAAAGGACCCAAAATTCCTAACTGAAAGCTCTGTCCTAGGAGTTGGGTAGGACAGGTAGAGGATCAAGTGCCAGAGCTACTATAAAACACTGAATAAAGATGCACTAGCACTCTTGATGAGAACCCAAAGAGTTTGGCATCTTTGTTTCAGACCAAAATGGGGCAAAAATTAAACTGGGGAGTATGATGACCCAGGCCTCGTTTCTGTGAGCACGTGAACGTATGAGCAGACAAGTGTCTCTGCATTTTCCCTCTTCCAGTGCTAATAAAGGACACTATAACCAGTGGCTCACAATTTGACAAACAGATTTCTTCCCTTCCAACCCCCTGAGGAGGCTTTTTATCATCCCAGAGCAGTGTTTTGCAGGCATTATTGCTGGCGTTTTATTGAGAAATTCAGTAGGAAAGAGCAAAATCTAGGAAGTGCGGATGGAAGGAAGGACACAGTTTTAATTTATATAAAATAAAGAGCAAGCTCCCAGCCTGGGGTCTGTGAAAAGTTCATCTGGGGTGAGCTGGGGCATCAAGAGGAAGAGGATAGGAGAAAGAGCAGTATATGAGGAAGTACAGGGGGGAAAGAGCAAGCCAACATGGAAATATGAAGTGTCACTAGAGACATGCAACTAAGAAATGCTGGTGACTTTGAGGTTATTTTGTGTATTTACTATTATTAAATGTGTAATTAAATAATTATACTATGTACATATTTTTACTGTAATTCTGTGTCAGTTCCAAACCACACAGGTCACTGCTCTTTCATAAGCATTATCCCCCACTCATTCCTCCAAACCTACCAAGGATGACTAAAACCAATGAAAGGTAATTCTGAATACATGGAGTTCTCTTGTTTGTGTTATGGTATGTTCTCTTTTTCCACAGTCACTAGCAGTTAAAACATTTTTGAAAAACAACTGAGAGTAGATGTCTGCTGACTTCAATGACAGTGAACTGTCACCAACCCTGACAGGAAGCACCTGTTCCTCAGGCATCTGAAAGAGGTAGAAGAAACCCAAGCAGAAGAGCGATTGTGGGGACAGAAGAGAAAAGCAGCCAGATCTCCAGGACTGGGAAAAATAAAGAGAATCCAATAATCCAAACACTTCAGCATTTGGGGAACTTTACCTTGTCTTCTCTCCCAGGCCAGAATTCTTGCTGCTGCCTTCCTTGCAAACACCCAGCTCTGATGATGGAGTAAGGGGCTTCGTAAAGGTGAGGAAACTACAGGAGAGAGAGATGGTCTTGACTGAGTCCACATAAACAGCAAGGCACAAATGGGATACCTAGAAAAAAAGTATCACTCATCCCTCCAGAGAGAAAAAATCTGGGACTCAGTGAAGG